ATGACTAATATATGTTCATTTATTGCTTCTTAGTACATATCTTAATGAAAAAAGTTTTCAAATGACTTGGCTATTGGTTAATATTGTTAAATTTTCTTTTATGACTACCAACGAGAAATCAATTGTTATACCAATGTCTGTCCGTGATGTTGACGAATGCGATGACTATTTTTTAATGATTAAATCTGATCTTTATGAAAGATTTGTAAATTTTTGGACGAGACGCCAAAGATTCACAAAAAAATGTGATCCGAAAACTTACTCAAAAGTATTTATTGTGGATGGTCATCAGAAAGCTAATCGACTCATTTGCCAACACAAAGACGTATTTGGCAATACTGTGCCTAAACTTGGACCAGTGCAAATGGGATGTCTTTACTCTCCTCTGAAGAAAGGTACACTTTCGCCTATTTGAGTGACCAGAACTCTCTTACGCATGGCCGTACATTTTCGAGACAACTTTCAGAAAACAGCACACACAGAAAGTCGTTCGCATCAGAAATCAAGAGAAATGGTAGATTTTTTTAGATCGCGAAACTTCGAACGTCGGTAAATTCGACGTAGTTGATAACAAAGCATTTTACGCTATATCTCATATTCCTTTATGATACATTGACAGAGATCACAAATATAGCTTGCTATATGTGCAGCTTCTGCTTCAAAGCGTTTCATTTATTTATCATTCATATATTTTTCTTATTTTCAATGATGTTTTCTTTTCTTCCCATATCCGAGTTCATGATTCAACATATACTAGGTAGATCTTCGAGAACGCGTTATCGTTAATCAACATAATTATAAGTAATCGTAATAATTGCCACTTTTCTGTGTTATTGGGACGCAAAGGACGAGGAAATAGATATATTTGCAGAGAACTGTGACACGACCCATCTCGATGAATAATTCTTTTTCTAACTTTATTTTATATGTATAGCATCTAATATTGATCACAGATTCTGTCAACATCATCAAACGTCGAAAGCGCTATCCAGTACAATATCCCATATGACTCATGAGAATAGAGGAACTGATTTAGATAAATTAGCATTAGCTCAATTCATTGATATAGATGGTCGTTTTAACGATGAATTGTGTAATGTGTTCAGATCTGGAATTACTAACAAATCAAAGATAAGTTCTTATGGATTTCTAGGTACTTTCTTGAACTGCCCCGTTATTGTTGGATTCACCGAACATCCATGTTCTGAGGGAAGTAAGTGCAAAGATCTCATTTACACGCTTTCCAAAAATATGATTATTTTAATTTGATAACAACAGTGAGGCGGGTCCCCCATCATGTATTAACCATTATGCGATTCGGTCTATTACCTGCAGCAATGTGTTATGATTGCGCATGTACGCCCAAGCTCTTCGTTGATAAACACTTTGGATCAGACAATTTGAAGTCGACGAATTTTACTGCATTTCTTCCGCCATTACCCATGGCACTTGGTCGATTTCATGTCAAGAATCATAAGAGAGCAATGTGCAAAACAATAATGCGACCTGACCGTGAGTGTCATAATGGTCTATACAATGCTATCAATACACAAGTTCCTGAGTAAGGTTTTGCTTATTTGTCTAAGTTCAAAAACTCGTTTAGAGGATACAACTATCCAAAATCAGCAATATTTTTTACGATTCTTTTTCACCTTAAAACATGTGCCGTCAATGCCATTAGTTCATTTGAACGCCCCGTAAAGAAACATACAAAC